TATTCCCGCTCCGTCCCGCCGAGACATATATATGTATCGCTACCGCAACTTTGATGACAATGTTGGATAGAAAGGCGTGCAACACTAGATACGCATAAGCAAATATATTTTCTTCGCGTTATACATACATCTCTCATTGGCCACATATGCACTTCCTGTATATGGAAATAATTCGTTCACATGACGAACAATCTTCTACGCGTTGCGTGCTAATCGATCGAGAATTTATTCGACATCGCGGAATCGAGTTCTCATGAGCTGCGCCGCGCAACGAAAGTTGTAATTGGAGAAATAATGACACAGTTGGCGTGGGCGTGTGGAATCTATGGCTGTCAATGGAGAAAGTGTAACATACGCGTAGCCGACACCGCCGCCGCTCGATCGCCGGATGATTTTCACGCGCGCGTCGAGATTTTCTACATGGCGTCTCGATCGCGTCGGAGTCACGCTTTTCACGGTGTATTTGTTCGCGCCCGCGACCGGGAGATAAATCGGTCGAAAAGTGAAACACATGCCGCGCACATTCGAATTTCATTCGTAGACCGATTTGATTTATGAAAATTAGTATCGACTTTTTTTTTCTCCGCCGAACGAATCATGCTGCTCGCTGCACGCAACTCGAATCAATCTGTGTCCCGGACCTATTATTCAACGCCGCCGCAGTCATTGGCGGCACAAGTGCGTTGCAATGTTGAGGTAACGTGACGGTACCGAGTATCGTCACGTTGTTTAATAATAAACAAACAAATTTTTACTTTTTTTGAGTTTTTAATGGAATCGATTATTTGATGAAAGAATTAAAATATTTCATATATCGCGCGTGTTTAACGTGCTTTGACATGCATTCGGAAGAATTTACATTGCATAACGGAAAACATTAGCAATCAATTTTTATCATTATATATTTCATCCATCTTTTTCAGAGATTACGGAGAATTAATTGCCAATAATTTACACTGATATTTTAAGAGGCATTCAAATCGTTGTAGCAAACTCGACAAATTTTATAGTAAACTTGTAATGAGTGATATTTCTAAATCCAAGAATAATTCAAAATATCTCTAGAAAGCTATCAAAGTAGAAAAATATAAAACTTTGACTTAAAGCTGTGAAACCTACACGGAAAAAAAAATTTTCGCTACCATATGATGATGTAAATATCGAGTCTCATCCCCAACAAAGGAAAAATAGCAAGAGCAGGAAGAGAATTTTAAGATCGGAAGGTGCGACGACCCGAACATGCGCCGCAGTTGTTGTTTTAGCAACGCTGCGCGTAGTATCGATTGCCACGGAACCGTGAACTTTGAATAATTATTAAACGACTGCCACTTCTTTACGATGTGACTTTACGGGCGATACGTTCTCGTTAGAGCAGCTAACTCACGCCTAACCTGTCGTAAGCAAAGGCAAACAACCGTAAAAAGTTATGTCTTCCTTTACGGTGAGAAATATTTAGATCATTTTCATCATAAAGAGATCGGCAAGATTATGAATTAATAAATCTATGTTTAATATCAACGCTATACGATACACGACAGATACTTATAGAAAATTTAGAAAATATGTTATTGATTTTATGACACTTTTCTAATTCTGAAATTTACGAAAATGTGTCATGATAAAAATAAAATATAATTAATGCAACGAAATATAATATGGCAAGTTTGTCATGATAAGCTTTACAAAATTTTAATATTACTCTCGATAATTGAAAATGTATATATAACAATCATCTGTCATGAATCTCATATTTTAACTATTATCGATATCGCAACTAAAGTGAGAATGGATTAAGAGACCGTGCTTAATAATATAATATTTATTATATAAAGCACGGTTTTAATCAACGCAGAAATTTCGATAAAATTATGAATTTAAAATAAATCTTTTTAAATTAATCCACATTATATATAATACATAAATTATATATAACACATAAAGCTATGTATATTGTACATTGCATTAGTGTTTACAACTAGAGATAAGATCGATGAAAAAATTATTTGTTGACATTCGCGAAATGTAACAGATTTTGTAATTTATTTAACTCGTCAATAACTAAAACTTGAAAATAATTATTTAACAAACAACGACATAATCAGGCTCAATACGAAATCAGCTGAAATTGCAGCATAAATCTAATGCAGAAGAAATTGTTAAAATCGGCAGGATCTATGTACATAGAAAGAAGCCGCAAAGGAAATTGAGAATATTGAAATAGATAGATGCGGTAAATGTCAAAACACGCGTCTTCGTTATCGTGCTTTAATTCGAAAGTGAATCAATTTTCCGGCTGAGGGGTCAAATTGCGCATGAGAAAGAGGAAGAATATGTCATCGGCTTCAACGACGACCGATCGTCATGGTGCATGCCGGCGAATTAAATTTATTATTCGTACAACTGCCAGAATATCTCCCGAGGGCCGTGCGCGAGCCAGCCGGCCAGCACCGAGATATTATAATCGCTATGACGACGTGATACGCAATTAATCCATCGCGCGTCAGCGCTCGCTCGAGTTCGCGTTCACGGCGGCGCATGCAATAATAACGCGTATCGACACGAGCGAAGTGGATGCGCGAATCGTGCCACGGCAATATGATTAATGATGCCGCCTATCAGTGCGTGAACGCGGTAAAACGAAGACAAATAGCCGTGCCGGGGCACTTTAAAAGCGCTCACCGCGGATCCGTTTCCGTCGAAAACGCGCGCACAGAAGACGTGAGATCGTTCTCGAGTACCCACGATCGCTACGCGAGTCTCTCTCGGCGAACCAATTAGGCTGCGAATACGGATTATCACAGACGATTAAGAATTTCGAAATGTAGATACTTTGAGACATTTATAGTCAATAGTTTCATAGTAAAAATGTCGGAAGATTCATTATCAGTTTTTCGCAATTTTCTGATTTATTAAAGTAAAATCTACTAAAGTAAAATCTATTAAAGTAAAATCAATCTAAAAAATATTTTATTATTTATCTTAATTTTAATCATCTCTCATTTAATATGTTTATATAACCACTAAGGACCCATTTCTTTCTCATATGAAATTTTTAGCTATACTTTTGTTCAAGAATTAATATTATAAGAGAAATAAATTTATAAACGCAGCTTGAAAGTTGATAGATACGTGTGTCTCTTTTAAATCTACAAGTATATAACATTCAACAGTTTATATGTACGCGATGTCTCTCTTTACTATTGAAAAATGCTTGAAGGAGCGACTTTCAAGATGCACGGAATATATCGTAGACATTCGTACACGAGCACCTTTCTCGCGCGTAAAACTTAATTTTAGTGAAGATCGATTTATGAAGGGAAATATAATTTCGCTGATAGTACACAACGTGAGAAAGAGAGAGTTGCGCTAATAGTGCACCGTCTACATCTGCTTTATCGTATTTTGCAATTGCCACACTAATAGACCGTATTATAATCACCGGGACGAACGCGTAATTTGAGATTGCGGGTTATCGTCAATCTTTGAGAGGGATATTATTTATTATCGTACTTATCTCACACGTACTACGCCGATGCTACATACATTCTCTATTTGTTTTTATGTAGAGTTATATAGTTACCTTTATGATTACTTATGCCATTTATTTTTCAGATCAATTTTAAAAATTAAAAAAGACATTTATTTGTTTATATTAATTATTCAATTTTCTCGAAATTGTTTTAGAATTAATTTGCTTATTTCAATGCAAGAAACTCTCAAAAGCTTAAATTTTATTTCAATCAATATTTGCGTAATTTAAAGATCCTTAATGATATTTAATTAAATCGAAACAAAAAGGCAAGGTATATAATAGAGTGTATAATAAATAAATCAAAGTTAATCGTTTGCAACTTGTCATAGAATTTTCGTTTCCGGAGTTCTTCATTCAAAACGTTATTTAAAAATAACATCGTTCATTAGCGGACGTTAACCTGATGAAAGAACGATATCCCTCCCCGCGAAAAGCTCGCTCCACCGTTATAAACGGCTCGTAAGCTTCGACCCGTAAGGCTCATTTTCAAAGTGCTCATTTGGGGAACTTTCGCGAGCGCGAAAGCCTACAGAAACTTCGAACTTTCGTAGCGCGATGCGAGGCGAGGCGAGGTGCCCCTCGGTAGAAGAGCTTCTGATTGACGACGGCGGACTTTTAATTACTCCGCCGCAAGTTTTAGGGCACGTGGAAGCGAAAGATAAGCTTCGAAATAAAACGAGCGAACGGCGTTGTCGGCGCGTAAGTTATGCCGCAAATTATGCAATTAAAAGTCTCGCGGACAGATGTGGGTCCCGCTTTTCGCGCGCGCCCTGTCTTCCGTACTAACGACTTCCGTTGCACGGCTACAATTGTAACGGATGCGTGATGCGTGTTGCCGACAAAAACTCTTTCCGAAATTAGATGTATCAAAACAATAAAGTGCATTTGTAATAAAAAAAAAAGGTAATTAAGGAATATCTCGACCATATTTCTTCCACGAGTTCTCAATCTATGACGGAAGCTACATCGGGAACAGCGTGTCTCCAGTAACGCCGGTTTTGAATCTAACAACCTCACCAGACAGCACGGCGACGACCTGATTACACAGAAAGGCCCCTACCTTCCCATCCTCCACATAGCAATGCACCCTCCTCGCTCCAATATAGCCGTCAGCCTACTACCATAGGCACGGCTTTGCCCCTGTACGTCCATATCATAAATATTGGTCAAAACAACAACGTCTCCATTTATTGTTAAAGCTTGAAGACTATTCTTATACCAGACATTCATGGATATCCAGATACACAGGTGATCGTAATTACTATATTAAATATATATTATATTAAATAATAAAGATTAATTATAAAAATTAAATAAAAACATCATCATGCGATTAAAATTAATACTCTAATCTTATATATAATATTCTAATCAACTGATATCGCATTTTTTCGTTATATTACAAATAATATAATTTTATGCTTAATTTTCCTATGATAAAAACTTTATGTTTTGATTAAACTTACAACCCCCGTAGGGGTTTTCAAAAATTGCCTTAGCCGATGATATTTCACATCGTCATGGCGGGGGATTGGTAAAAGTTTTCAACTAGCAATAATCGCACCTCGGTAGAACCTCATTGGTTACGATATCGCCACTGCGCAAAGCTGATGTGAAGCACTAAAGTCAGGCAAGATATAGTAATCTTGGTTGGATTTCGATTACGAGAAAATATCTACCTGCTCTTGCCATCTAGCGAAGCTCGCTCGAAGCTTATATATACGCTCTATTCATTCTATTTTTATTACGTGTTACATTCGCAAGTTTTCTCGCAACTTATAACTTGCGATCGTAATTACTATATTAAATATATATTATATTAAATATATTATATTATACTATATTAAAATTAATTACTGTATTAAACGGAAATGGACAGCGAGATATAGAGGCAGCTTCAATAATATTTGACGGTATATAGGAACACGAGGTGAATGTATATAAAATTAATCTCGGATTTAAATTAATGTCAGAGCAGATTATTACACGATGGAGGATGAAAGTCTTATGAAAAATCACATTTCGTGCAAAATGATTATAGAAGTGTTGAAACGGGGAGCTTAATATTCAACTTCCGCATGCAACACTATGTTATGGCTATTTCTCGAATCACCGATAAAATATGAATCTCGATACGGTGTACGGCTCGCGCCATAATCTCGTATAATTTATACTAAGGCGCGACGTTACGCGAGAGAATTATGAGGAGTATACTGCGCGAGAGCGACGGGAATTAAATTGTATATCATTCGCATATAAGATCACTGCGAACCACTATTGATTCTCGTAGCAATACCCGAGGAACAATGGCTTACGGTTCGCCACATCCGAGAGTAAAAGTTATTTCTTGTCTCTCTGTGAACGCTGTTTATCCGATTACGACATCGCTGTACATGGGACAAGACATAGCTACCGAAACTTAATCATATCAGTAACTTTGGTATACTCAATCGGTCAAACTAGTTAAATATTCTCTTATTTAATTTAATTTGTCTCAATTTGGAAAGTATCAAGAAGTATATTAAAACATAAAAATAAATATGAAAAGTCTAAAAAAATTTCTATCTATTTACTACGGATATAATAGAATGTCCTCTTCGACGATTGCGGACAGTGCACGCGCTGCAACGAGGCGAATAAAAGGTTCGCCGGAACGAGGCGAATAAAAGGTCTCGTCGATCGATACGTAAATAGGTTAATCGCGCCATCATTCGTCCTCCGAGCATGCAGCCTCTAGCCGACAGTGTGCATGTTGACGATTGCACAAACGGCCTACTATTTAGGTTGCCGGTTCAACGGAAATCGCACGGTCGATAGCCCCTAAACGTCGACCCCGACCCATTACGGAACGACAGTGGCACGAACGCACACGCGTGTATATTTTTCGTATCTTGCACGCCACGCGAGAGATTTCGCTTGGCCTTTGTGAGAGCCGCTCGGTCTAATGACACAGTTGGTATGCGGCCATACGATGAAGATGGATAATGAGAATCTTCCCCGTAAAGAGAAATCGGGGGTCAATGAGATGGATTTAAATGCCCGATCGCCAAGTTATAAAAATATCCTCGCCCCATTCGTTCCACGAGAATAAATTATTTGAAATTCGAATTATTCGACATATATTTGGTAAACTTAGTATATTGTATAAAATTCATTAGAATAGTAGCAACTAGTCTTTATCATTATCTATTGTTAATATCATTTCATGATTGCTATTATGAAAAAATATGTAATAAAAACTAAACAATCTTTCTAAAATTTAGATTTTATCATATTACATTCTTTTATACTTTTTTCATATTTTATAATACTTGTTCAATTTGAGCAAAGAAAATTTATTTAATAATAATTGCAATGTAAGATTATTAAATGTGATTGATTAAAATTAATACTCTAATCTTATATATAATATTCTAATCAACTGATATCGCATTTTTTCGTTATATTACAAATAATATAATTTTATGCTTAATTTTCCTATGATAAAAACTTTATGTTTTGATTAAACTTACAACCCCCGTAGGGGTTTTCAAAAATTGCCTTAGCCGATGATATTTCACATCGTCATGGCGGGGTATTGGTAAAAGTTTTCAACTAGCAATAATCGCACCTCGGTAGAACCTCATTGGTTACGATATCGCCACTGCGCAAAGCTGATGTGAAGCACTAAAGTCAGGCAAGATATAGTAATCTTGGTTGGATTTCGATTACGAGAAAATATCTACCTGCTCTTGCCATCTAGCGAAGCTCGCTCGAAGCTTATATATACGCTCTATTCATTCTATTTTTATTACGTGTTACATTCGCAAGTTTTCTCGCAACTTATAACTTGCAAATTACACTCTAATCAATAACTGAGTTATTTCATTATATATATGTAAACAATGCAGTCATATTTAGTAATAGACACAAAGAAAAAAATGTTTTACTAAATAATTCTGTGTCTAAACAAATTTTGTTCCAATATCAAAATTATATTAAAAATTGTAGTTTACAACATATAATTGTATCATTAGCGCATTAAAATAAATTTAAAGATCATTTATCAAAAAAAAAGGAGAAAACTCTCTGCATTAAAAGAAATTTAAGAAAAAGTAACTCACCGTTTCGGAGACTATACTCTTGACTTCCGCTAGTAAAGCTGCAGCAGGTGACAGATAAGCCCGGACAAAGTTCTCCAAGTTACCATGATAAGCGCAAACCAGGATATCCCGTGCTTGTCTTATCAGTAAATCCATAACACTGTCGCCATAAATCGGTCCGAGCAAATTCCGGACCAGGGAAGCGAAATCTCCACGATCCTATAAAATAACAATAATAAAGCGTAGTGTGCAATTTAAAAAAATTTCTAACTTTTATTAATAATTAAAAAGAATTAATTTAAAATAATTAGAATACTTTAGAATATTTATCAATTAAAACAAGTAATATTATGTGAAGAGTATTGGTAAAAAACATGATAAACTTTGCCAGATAAAGTATATAAAAAAACTCACGTAAAAGATTCCTCGAAATGTCTGATAAATTGAATATGAATTACGTAAAACACATCAAATATTTATTTAACGTGTTGCAAAATTCAAAATTTTTATAACTCTATTTAAAGAATATTAATCAGAATTCTTGAAAAAAAACTTGTTTTAGCCAAATAAGAAATCATAGATAGAGAAATATTAACCCATCGCAATTATTTTTTGCTTTATTTAAAACGCTTGTAATTGCAAATTAAAAAATCCCATTAATATGGAATGAAAAATGAATAAATGACCACACGCTCGGGTTCTCGGATAGCCCGGGCACTGCATGATAGACGCATGAATGTTGATGCGGCTTGTGGTGAAGCACCATCAGATGAAAGTCAGGTTCTAGACAGTTATTTAATATCGACATCGAATCGCATCGCGAAAATGTAACGTTACATTAGTCATTGGTAAAAGTTTTCAACTAGCAATAATCGCACCTCGGTAGAACCTCATTGGTTACGATATCGCCACTGCGCAAAGCTGATGTGAAGCACTAAAGTCAGGCAAGATATAGTAATCTTGGTTGGATTTCGATTACGAGAAAATATCTACCTGCTCTTGCCATCTAGCGAAGCTCGCTCGAAGCTTATATATACGCTCTATTCATTCTATTTTTATTACGTGTTACATTCGCAAGTTTTCTCGCAACTTATAACTTGCAAATTACACTCTAATCAATAACTGAGTTATTTCATTATATATATGTAAACAATGCAGTCATATTTAGTAATAGACACAAAGAAAATTTTGTTTTACTAAATAATTCTGTGTCTAAACAAATTTTGTTCCAATATCAAAATTATATTAAAAATTGTAGTTTACAACATATAATTGTATCATTAGCGCATTAAAATAAATTTAAAGATCATTTATCAAAAAAAAGGAGAAAACTCTCTGCATTAAAAGAAATTTAAGAAAAAGTAACTCACCGTTTCGGAGACTATACTCTTGACTTCCGCTAGTAAAGCTGCAGCAGGTGACAGATAAGCCCGGACAAAGTTCTCCAAGTTACCATGATAAGCGCAAACCAGGATATCCCGTGCTTGTCTTATCAGTAAATCCATAACACTGTCGCCATAAATCGGTCCGAGCAAATTCCGGACCAGGGAAGCGAAATCTCCACGATCCTATAAAATAACAATAATAAAGCGTAGTGTGCAATTTAAAAAAATTTCTAACTTTTATTAATAATTAAAAAGAATTAATTTAAAATAATTAGAATACTTTAGAATATTTATCAATTAAAACAAGTAATATTATGTGAAGTATTGGTAAAAAACATGATAAACTTTGCCAGATAAAAAGTATATAAAAAAACTCACGTAAAAGATTCCTCGAAATGTCTGATAAATTGAATATGAATTACGTAAAACACATCAAATATTTATTTAACGTGTTGCAAAATTCAAAATTTTTATAACTCTATTTAAAGAATATTAATCAGAATTCTTGAAAAAAAACTTGTTTTAGCCAAATAAGAAATCATAGATAGAGAAATATTAACCCATCGCAATTATTTTTTGCTTTATTTAAAACGCTTGTAATTGCAAATTAAAAAATCCCATTAATATGGAATGAAAAATGAATAAATGACCACACGCGCTCGGGTTCTCGGATAGCCCGGGCACTGCATGATAGACGCATGAATGTTGATGCGGCTTGTGGTGAAGCACCATCAGATGAAAGTCAGGTTCTAGACAGTTATTTAATATCGACATCGAATCGCATCGCGAAAATGTAACGTTACATTAGTCATACGATTTCAACACTTGTCCGAATACTGGAAGCAATAGAGACAAAGAACCAAACAGTTTCGCGAATCCATTTATATCGTTATGGAATCACGGCTATCGCGCGTAAAATCTGTTACTGACAATTATCTCCCTCTGGATAAAAAGGAAAAAATGCCTAGTTGCGCCATGGTTTTGCTGTATCTTTATTACGGCCTACTAAAAAAAAAAAAAAAGAGAAAGATTTATTCATATATTAATGTCCCATCAAATATTGAAGCATAATTCTATGATTATTACAAAATTAACGATTAATTAACTTTTGATAAACTACATAAAACTGTATCGCGTCATTATACGCACTTTAATTCGCGCGGAGTCGATGCAATGTCGCATCTCTCTCTCTCTCTCTCTTTTATATATATTAAAAAGTATTATAATTTTTTAAAATTATTTCCCAAGAATAACGTGAAAGAGAGAGAGAAAAGATTTTTGAGAAAATTGATTATTTATGAGATTGAAGTTTTCATTGACTTTATTTATTCATTTCGATAAATCTTTATCGAAACGCTGTGCATGCGATTATTCCGCGATTGGGAGAGCCGTGCGATCATCGCGTATTCAACTCGAATCGTAATTAACCGTGTTTTCACGAGTAAGTGTAAGTGCTACGTGGATACAGCCAAGACATACATACATAAATAAAAAAAAAGTGAGCATTAGGAATGGTGCTCTAAGACGTGGTTGTATTTTAAAGGCACTAATCCCCAAACTCGAGGAATGGATGGCACATTCTCATGGATAACGATGTTATATATTGTCTCGTTTGGCTCTGACGATGATAAGAGGATATTAATAAAGATTGTTTGCAAATTTTTCAGACGTTCCGGAGGAAGCTAAGCCCGGTGTAAGTGGCGCAGAAGCGTTAGCTTCCAAGGGACAGACCAACCTCGACAAAATTTTAAATATAGAAAAAGAATCAGGCTCGAAAGAGGTAAGGTTTAGGGCCCGAGCACAGAGTTTTGCATAAGCGCGCATAACCATAAGCATAAGGAAATTGATTGGTCGTTTCTTTACGCATATGTATTTACGGACCGATCAATTTCCTTACACTTACGATTATGCGCTTATGCAAAAGTCTGTGCTCAGGCCCTTACATTCGTAAAGAAATGCATGTACGGTGTAAGAAATCCTGTTTTGAAAAAATGAATAAAAATCTTGAATCGACCGCTTCATTGTTTTGTTGCAGAATCCTAGAAAGAGTCTGCGTGGACTAACATTTTTTATCACTGGAGTGATGGAGTACATGTCCAGAGCAGAAGTCTGTAAGTTAAAAACAGACAATGGTGGGCGCACCGTTTGCAAGCTTTCTGGCAGGGTGCATTATATCGTTGTTGGCGGCAAGGCAGGACAAACTAAATTGAAGAAGGTACATTTATATCTCGTTATAGACATTTATACGTTTGCCATATACTTATCATTTCTCATTGAAAATCATCTTTCTTTTCAGGCGAATGCATTAGGAGTAAGGAGGCTCTCCCAATTTAGTTTGATCGAGATGATAAAAACAGGAGGCAGAGCAATATCGTCGGATCAAACAAAAAAATCTATCGCTTGTTGGGAGAAGCGGAGGGGTAAGCTGGAAGAGGTAAGCTTATTTATATTATTATTTTTATTATTGTTGTAATCATTAACAATTTATTAAATTCCCCGATTAATCTTACTTTTTTTTTAAATCAACAGATATTTCTCTCTTCAGATTCTGATAAAGAGAAAGAGAACGAGACACCGAGACAAACCACAAAAGAGAAAAAGGTAAGCTTTGATATTTATTAAATTAAATCTATACACAAATAATAAGATTAGATAAAAATGTATTTTAATTTTTTGATTTAGGCAAGTAGCCGACCACTTCTCAAGTAATTTCATTACCGTTAATTTCACCAAGCGACAGAAATTGGCGCGAGGTAAGCTGCTTGTAAACTTGTATATTAATGATAAAATTATTATAAATTCTCATTTTTTTTAGCAACTCGCAGCCCGGCGAGGGGACGACCACGGCCACAAGAAGAACGAGGCGAAGGGAAGCACATTGACGCCGTTCGAGGGGACGACGGGTGACGATCACGACCACAAGAACGAAACACCGAAGAGACATTTATACGTTTGCCATATACTTATTTATCATTTCTCATTGAAAATAATATCTTTATTTTCAGGCCAAGTTAATGGGTATCCGAAGGTTGTCCCAGTTCAAACTCATGGAAATGATCAAAAGCAGAGCATCGGATCAAACGAAGCAATCTATTCTATCTTGGAGGAGGCGCAGGGATTTGGGAGAGGTAAGTTTATTTATATTCTTTTTATTACTATTGTAATAATATTAAGAATTGATTAAATTGGATGAATAATCTGACTTTTTTTAAATATCAACAGATTACAATATCCTCGGATTCGGGCGAAGAGGAAGACAAGGAGAACGAGGCATCGAAGGGAAGCACATTGGCGTCGCCTCCCGGCCAGGAATACGCATCTTACCGGCAACTAAACTTGATCTCGGTCCGGTTGTCTGTGGGAGCTAAGTGACATAAGTTGATCTGTGTTGATAAGTAAATCTGTGTAAAAATGGTTGATAAAGATCCAAAGGTATTTATCATTCTTTTCCTTTTTTTTATTATTCTATAGCCGTTATTATAATTTAATTAGTTTATAATTGGCTATAGCTATATGGTTATATTCATAATTATAGCATAAATTCTTCTTTTCCTTTTTTTCTTTTTTTTTTATTGTTCTATAACCATTATTATAATTTAATTAGTTTATAATTGGCTATAGCCATATGGCTATGTTCATAATTATAGCATAAATTCTTATTTTCCTTTTTTTCTTTTTTTTATTGTTCTATAACCATTATTATAATTTAATTAGTTTATAATTGGCTATAGCCATATGGCTATATTCATAATTATAGCATAAATTCTTTATGTTAAATAATGGCGATGATAATTTAATTGATCAGTTAATCGCGCACACAGAGGAATTTTGCGAAAACGCGTAGAAGGTCATGCGATCATAAATAAGAGAGGTCAATCTCCGATGGCCAGGAGGACGAGGATGGACGAGGAGAACGCAGATGCTCATCGCGAAAATGTAACGTTACGCTACATTAATCATACGATTTCAACACTTGTCTGAATACCGGAAGCAATAGAGACAAGGAACCGAACAGTTTCGCAAATCCGTTTTTTTTTTTTTTTACCTTTGCGAGGTTTTTTTCAGTGGGATTGATATTATTTCTGAGCGAGCACGATTATTATGGATTAACGATATGGAATTACGGCTACCGCGCATAAAATTTGTTACTGACAGTTATCTTTCTCAATGCCAGGATAAAAAGGAAAAAATGCCTAGTTGCGCCGTGGTGTTGGTGGCAGGAGGGCAGGGCAGGAGCTACGGGGGAAGGGGGGTAGGGAGGTGAAGGGATCCAAGAGGGAAACGGCGGATTACGGGAGAGTTAAGTTAAGGCTGTCGGCTCCTGAGAAGTCATACACCAGCAGGAACCGCGGGCTCCGACAGGGAAGGGTCTGATATAACCGCGAGAGGGGGAGTTTTTAGTGGGTGAAAATCCCACACGCCCCCATCACAACGGTGGGATGTGCATAATGCATTTTCTCCCCATACAAACAGATGGAACAATGCAAATCTAATTTTATCTTTAATTACTACGAGACATTAATATATAAATTATATTA